GAGCTTAAAATCTCTCAAGAACGCTGTGGTGTAAAGTGGTATATGTCAGATAATACGAACAATTTGTCACTTCAAACACCTTTATATGTCATTAAACGTGTTTATAATGTACGCATGGAAGTTTAACTGCTGCTGTCACGAGCCCAGCGTGAGCGCCAGTGCGCGTGCCACTTAGCTTTGCGCGAGCACGCTCAGCTAATGAGCAAAGGCAGCAAATTTAAACGTTAAACGATATGTCAACTGTTAAATCGTGGTGTGTGATGCCCAATAGAGCGCGACTTACCCAGGCGCAATGACCTGCCCGAGTTGACAGCACAGTTCCCGCACAACTCCAGCGCGGTCCGACTTCAGCTTCCTCTCGGGCGCTCTCGACTCGCTTTCGGCGGTTATAGGCGCACAAACCGCGATGACAGAGTCAACGTTCACCCGAGCTCCGGGTTTCACCTTCCACTCGAGCAGCCGCAAGGGACGCGCTCCAGCGGGGTAGCGGATCTCCGTCACCTGCACCGTGGGGCCCTCTGGTGCCGCACCGCCGGAGTCTACCGACTCCTCCATCGCAGCTTCACACTTCAGCCACACACACGCGGCGGACCGCAGCGAACTGACAATTTAATAAAAGAAGTAAAAATCTCTAAAATAATCCAGAGACGTGCAGGACGACAATGCGATGAAAACGATCTGTAACGCAGGACAGGCTGAAGCGCAGGTTCACTCTTCCCGCCCGTAAACAGGAAACACAAGGCTGCTGCACGAGCGAGATTTCTTCCACTTCCGGGAGACTTTATCACTCTTCATCATAAATATAATACGACTCTTCATCTAAAACTACATTCATATTAGTGTCTAATCTGTATAATACACTAATAACATTTATTTACGTATATTAGTATTTTAAATACATTTTTTTTAAATTACACAGAGTCATATCAAACTGGTGGTTCAAAGTAAATCTGATTTGAGCATTTGTACCACTACCAAACTGTATTTATGTATCCCTCCCCCTTTTGAGACAGGCAAACCCCTGCTTTGTGATGTAATCTGATGAAATATCATGATCATGCCATCTGTCAAGGGATTAAGCAGCGCGTCATCGCAACGTCTACTCTAAACATTTTAGTTTGGGGTTAACGCTTATATTTCACATTTTTTTACTTGGGTTGAATTTCAAAGCGGGATTTACATCACCACTTAATCAATTATTCAAAATATGATCGAAGAGGAAGGCATCTTGATCTGTTATATCTTTTAATGTATATGGCAGACCGTTTTATTCACAGCGGTGCCTTTAAGGTGCAGCCTTCTTTTAATCAATACAAGTGTTGCGGTTCTTATAATGCAAATCTTATGAAGAACTGGGGAAAAGTGGCTCCAAAGTTAAAAAAAAAAATGCTGTAGAGCCATCTTTCCTTAAAGCTGCAGTCCGCAGTTTTTCCTCTTCGTCGCCATCTCTGTTCGATATCTTTACGGGGAGAGCGGGGCACAACATAACAATTTTTGTCAATTTGTGTAAATCTACTTTCCCCATATTAATTTACCACATGTCTACAAAAATTGTGTGGTTTTGTTTTATTAATACAGTGTATACTTTTTTTCTTGATTTACCCTGAAATAATGGAAGTGAAATGTGACAACATGCCCCATAGGTGGGGTACATTGTAACATGTGAGGGGCCAATTGTAACATCACCATATGACAACTTAAAATGCTATCTCATCTAATCAAAAAATATACACAAAAATATTTTCTCAATAAAATTGTTTTTTTTTGTTTTGTTTTTTTTTTTTACTTTTTCATATAAAATAATGGCATTTTTTAATAATTAAAAATATACTAATTTTTGAGTTTGACAACAAACACCTGAAAACACAGCTAATCATTTCTTAACACATTGACTCTCAGTCTTTATTATTTCTAATAGGGGCACATGTGACAACAACTGCACAACTGGGGTTTAAACCCTGCTAGTGTCTTCTCTTCTGCTAGTTAGCGAAGCATTAAATAACTACAGTATAATGTTCAGTTATATCTTACAAAGATTTCCGAATTTTGGTGCAATTTTTTCTCTAAATAGTTTTGAAATTGCAACTAGTAAATACACCAAGTTTTATCATGCCAGCATGTGTGGAAGTATTTAAAACAAGTGTGTTGCAACTAACCCCACGTTAAAACATTATTACAAGCTTACCGTTTTGAATTTAAATTCAAAAATTCAAATACATGTTCAACATGTATTTGAATTGAAATTCAAATACATGTTCAACGCCATCTGCTTTACAGCAAGCAGATGGCGTTGAACATGTATTTGATGTATATAGTATATGTATTGGTTATGTTTTTTCTCAAATATGTATTTTGGATCATTTTAAACCCAAAAAAGCTACGGACTGCAGCTTTAACTTACTTGATGTGAGTATGTAGTTTTCTTTATATATTTATGTAATTCTGTGTACTGTCCCTTTAATTAAAGGCATACACTGCACTTCATGTAAAAAAAAAATATTTAGCATTTTATTTCTGTATGCTATTTTTATTTTATTTTTATTTAGTTGTTTATTAAATTTGAATGCTTAAGTTTTTGCAAAAACTGTCACATGAATGATGATGTCACAGGCTCTTTCCCAACTGTCCAATCAGTCGAAGTCATCTGTCCAAATTCCATTTCCTTCCTGTCAAGTATTCAGAGTGGAAAATCAATATAGGCAAGATCTTTTAGAAGAAAAAAATCAATTAATTTCTTAGATTAAGTTTATTTGGGTTGCAGCACATGTGGGTATTGAGGGAAATGAAAAGATGGATAAATTCGCAAACGAAGCCCTGAAGGCAGAACATAGGCTATTTACAGGTTTCACTTAGTAAATCAGAAATTAAAGTTATCATTAAAGATACTGTTGACAAAATGTGGCAGGATACATACAGTTAAAAAGTACAGTAATCTGAGATGGCAGGAGGAAAATATGCTTACAAGGTTGAGAATAGGGCACACAAGATTAAATGGCTACGAACACCCCAGACTGGACTTAAGGAAGTTATGATCTTTCTGAAAGAAACTCAGCTTGCAAATAGAATTTAGATTTTTTTTTTTTTTTTTTTTCTCGTGTAAACTACAGTCCAGAAGATGGCGGCAATGCACCTCGTTTATAGAAGAAAACTACAGAAGTAGAAGAAGAACTACAGGCGTGCGTGATCTTGAAGCGCGAGGAAGTGTCCGCGAGAGGGAAGTCTCATTCATGCGATCTTCATCAGCCCGACCGGACCGGACACATGGCGGCAGAGACATTTACATCGGTAAGCTCAGCATCGTCGTTGGCCAATCACTTCGGCTGTTGTTCAATCGATCAGTGACTTGCTTATGTGCTCGAGCTGCCTGCTGCAGTCAGATTCTCTATGAAACAAAAGGTCACTGTATTTCGATTTCATATTTCAGGATTTAATGGAGATGCATTTAAATATTCCATGTCATTATCCAGTCTGGAAGTGCAGGTCTGATCCTGAATCAGCAGTCAAGGCCAGAGAAAAAATGTCAAAATTGTTTTTATCACTTTATACTTAAATCCCGAACTAAAGACGGATGTTCAAGTATAGGAAAGATTGCCTGACCTGCAGTCTGGTACTTGACAGCACCATTTCCATGGTAACCAACCATAGTAACACTCCTAACAGTGCGCCATTTTTTCTTCTTTTGCATGTGCCATAACAATCCCACATATTTTTGATATGCAACACCGTAGTACCATGGTGTTTTAAGTACTTTTTTAAGTGGCATGCCATTAGCAGGATACATGAATATTGTAATTTACCGATCAATCCTGAAAATGTGCTTTCATTCATGTACTTGTTTACCACGTGATACCATGGCTTTGTCAGGGTTACTAGTATTTAGACTGGATCTGATGTTACCTTGAACATTTTTGGAAACGGATTGATTTAAAGTCTCTTTCTTGGACAGAAGCTCTCTGTTTGGATTGTCTCACAGACCTTTTTTTGCAGTTGTGTGTAAGAGAACGATGGGCTGTTGTGTAATCATGATCTATTTAAGCTGGAGCACATCCCTGACCTGTCCACAAATCATCCCGCCTGAGTAAAAACATTGTGTTCCCTGCTTCTAGAAACATTCAACAAACAAACAACCCCCTTCTTTCACGTTTCCCTCATGGCCTTGATGGGGAAATTCTTGTGTTTCAGTGTACAAACTGAACTGAATTTAGCTGAAAACACACCTCACAGATCATCTCTTGAGATATTTTGACATGCTACTGTAGCTGGGATGATGCCTCGGGTTGAGGAAGCTTTGGCCAGTTACCTCTCACCCAACCTCGCAATCATCCCTTAAAACATCAGTACTGAAATAGTATTGGCCAAAACAGTCAACAAATATAAGTGACTTAATATTATTACCTTGTTTTTTTTTAAACTGTCAAATGAAATCAGCGTCACATTTTCAATCGTGATGGCTTTTTGGGAATTGGTAGCTCTCAATTGGCAAAAACCCCTCAAAATATTTATTACGGAGGTGAAAAAAATGCAGAAAATCATTATATTATAGAATGCATTTTGCCAATTCAAAGAGAGTACAGCCACCTTTTTCCCCCAAATGATTATAACACAAACAAATCATCCTTCTGGCGACTTTTTCTTTGTCAAAAGCAACAAAGTAAAAACATTTACTGGGTGTTTTTGGAGACTTTTGTGGTATTTGGAGACTCGGGGTCAGGGCCTGAAATTTTTTATATTTTAATACAAAGTGGACAATTAGCGGCAATGGCAAGGTTCATGAGCGGCTGATTTATGACAGCGACTGTTTCGTAACGTTCATGCGATCAGAAAGAAGACGACGCCCTTTTCTGACTACGTTTGGATGTGCGAGTATTAAACTTGGTGAGATGGGATGAGATAATGTAAGCTAATGTAGGCTACACAGTTCAATGACAGTTGCACAGATGTTGCAAATGTTCATGTTGGGAATTGGGAACCGGTGAGAAAATGTCCAGTAATAAAAAATATTAATTTAGTTCATAGTTAACGGTTCCTGAACGCTGTAACTAAAAGCTGTTAAAACCTGGGTCAGGTCAGTTTGAGATTTTATTTAATGGAATTTGTTTACAGTAAAGAATACACAACAACATTATTTTGGTTTAATAAACTTTATTTAAACTTTCGTTTGGGATTAAGTGCGCACACTCTTTAACGTTTAGTTTAAGTTTATTCTTACCGTTCTTTTTGTTTGTTTGTTTGTTTGTTTGACACATCTGAGTCCCGTGAGCTGGTGCACCATCGAAAGGGGTTTGATTGGAAACATTGGACTATTTATATGGTTCCGGCCGATGATCGGGCCACAACCATTCCGGTTTGTTTCTTCTCCGGGGGGAACTTCAAGGACTATTTTGCTTGCTTTAATGCTTTTATTTTGTTTGTTTATTAGAAGTATATTTATTAAGTGAAGTCATTTGAAGTCATTAGTATTATTTGAGGTGTTTGTCTATGTATATTGGGTGTTTTCATATTCGTTTATTGTGTGTAATGGCCATTATATGTCTGTGTATCCCCCTTTATGTGTTAATTGGTGCTGGCCACCAAGTTAAAAAATGTTTCTGTATGCGAGTTAGTGTTTTGTGAGAGGTTCTGTAAGCCCTTGACCTCGGTGTAAATGTTTGAGAGGCAAATGCAGTGACCCATCCATATTGTATGTTGTTGTTGTTTTTTTGTTATTTGATTTTTGGTATGTTTGGTTTACTACCATTGGGTTTGCTTTGACTTCACTTTTGTAACCCCATCCTGTGGAAATAAACACAGTGACTAAATCAGCCATCAACACAGACGCATGTGATTTGTTTACATACGAGTTGCAGTAGGTCTATCTGTTGAGTATATACTATATATATATATATATATATATATATATATATATATATATATATATATATATATATATATATATATATATATGTGTATATATATATATATATATATATATGTTGTGTGTGTCAAAATCAATGAATAAAAAATGTATGTTCTTAGAGTTACTATTACTTGACAGCACTTAAATGTGTATTCTTACAATATTGTAAAATTCCCAGGTTTTTTTTTTCACCTTTATGAGCCAAAAAAAAAAAGGCAGGTAAAAAGTCTCTGTGGCAGGTAAATTTTGAAAGCAAAAATAGGGGCAAAAACAAAAGTGTTTCATTTATAATTTTGTTCAGTGTAAATGCAAATTTTGCCTATATTATTATGTTTGAGTGAACTTGCAGTTTGACTGGTGCTTAATCTGTCTTGTCTTGGTCTTCAGTTAAGGCTGTGTCGGCGTCACATGTCTCTGTTAAGGAGGTGGCCTCGGCTCGTAGGTCCACAAGAACATCAGAAGTTCTTCTCCTCACACAGGTGGGTTTCATTAGCTTTATGGGGTCTGTTCTGGATGTTATAGTAGGTATATGAAGAAGACTTGTGTTCTGTTTTTCTAGAGTTGTAAAGAGTCACAGCCTCTTTAGGAAACTGTTGTTTGCCGTCTCGGCGGGGGTGCCTCTCGTGGTCGGGGTGCGATATGTGGTCTCGGAGCCCAGAGAGAGGAGGAAGATGAAGATACTTGCAGAGGGAGTCGGACGCTTCTGCAGGTCAAGCTCTTTAATAATCTTGTGTAAAATAGCAGTATTTAATATAAAAAAATCTGCAGGGGCGTTGAATGCTTGATTGGTTGACTAAATGGAAAAGGCTAAAGTAGTTCCAGCAGGTCTTGACCGCATACAGTTCTACATCACTTTGCGTATTTGACTGTAATAACAGAAAATAGGATACTTTGTATCTTGCGTTACGGCATTACAAGCAGCGAGAGATACGAGACTCTGCTGGTGGTGGTGGTGACGTAGCTCTGCCATTTATTTACAGAATAAATTTAAAGCTTTTAATATGTTACACCCGAGTTGGGAATGCGGTCACGATGCGAAGCGGAGTAGAATTATTTTTCGAATTATTTTTATTTTTCTACACTACCATTCAAAAGGTCAGTATTTGTTTTTAAAGAAATGAAGACTTATTCAGCAAGAAAAAAACCTTTTCAAACCTGTTTTCAACCTTGATATTATAGTAATACGATTTTTTTCTCGAGCAGCAAATTGCATATTAAACTGATTTCTGAAGGATCCTGACAAGACTGGAGTAATAATGCTGAAAATTCAGCTTTGCCATCACAGGAATAAATTTAAAGTTTTACAATATACTTGTTTTGCTAACGGCTATTTTAAATTGTAATAATATTTCACATTTTTACTGCTTTTGCTTTATTTATGATCTGATAAAATCAGTCTTTGTGAGTATGCGACTTTTTTTTCAAAAACATCTTACAAACCTTAAACTTTTTAAAGTTAGTGAATGGCATTATATTACCCATCAGGCTCTCTAGATGTCAGATTTTGCTTTTGGTTTTGACATTGAGGCTGAAATGTAGATGTATATCTGATTCTGTGTCACATCAGGTCTCTCTGTGTCGGGCTGATGATATCAGCAGATTACTGGTGGACATCCAACATTGTTCTGCGTGGCTTGGATGAGGTAGGTTTATATCCCTGTAAAAATATTTATTTATTGAGGGTATTATTTGAAAGGACCCCTGATTTTGTTTCAAACCTGTATGGCATTTTTCAAAATATCTTTTTATATTTTAAAGAAGTTTATATTACAGATTTAAAGTGACATGAGGGTGAGTAAATGATGACAGAATTTTCATTTTTGGGGGGAACTATGCTTTTAAACCTTTATGACGTTTTATGCACATATATCCAGTGCAAAATATTGTTATAAAAACAAGTAAACAGTAAAAATGCCATACGATGTGAGCTCTAAACTCTGTGTCCGTGTCCGTCGCCAGAGCAGTCCAGAGTATGAGGAGCTGATGTCAGCGTGTCATCAGAGAGCAGCCAGTAACATGGTAGACGGGGCCATCCAGAACGGAGGCCTGTATATTAAGCTGGGACAGGGACTGTGTGCATTCAACCATCTTCTACCTCCAGAGTACATCCGCACCCTGCATGTGTTAGAAGATAAAGCGCTCAACAGAAGATACAAAGAGGTGAGCCGCTTCAGGTTAAGAAGCAGAACACATTAAAGGGATAGTTCACTTTGAAATTAATTTTTGATATGTTTTATCTTACCTCAAGGGCATCCAAGATGTCGGTGTCTTTGTTTCCACAGTATTTTCAATTTTGATTGATTTTTCGGTCAAACCGTTGTTGTCTTTCAGTCATATAATGAATGGAGGTCAATGGTCACCACCTTAAAGAGCTTGCACAGAGAAGTCCAAATTAAACATGATTTAATGACTCGTACATGTAAGTACACACTGATGGCCTAAGACACGAAACGAGCGGTTTGTGTGAGAAAACCAACAGTATTTATATCGTTTTACCTCTTGTAATCACAGCCATGTCCAACTGATCTGAATCAGATGTCCAATGTCCAACTGAACCATGTCCAACGGTCCGCCGGAAGTGATCTCTTGCGCATGTACGTCATTATTGTTTACACAGAGATTTCGATACATCTAAATATTATTTATTTAGATATATCGAAATCGTCTTCCAATGCCAAGATATTTTTTAGATCTTCACAGTGACATGGCTGTGGTTACACGAGGTAAAAACGATATAAATACTGTTGGTTTTCTCACACAAACCGCTCGTTTCGTGTCTTAGGCCATCAATGTGTACTTACATTTACGAGTCATTAAATCATGTTTAATTTGGACTTCTCTGTGCATGCTTTGAGGTGGTGACCATAGACCTCCATTATATGACTGACAGACAAGAACGGTTTGACCTAAAAATATCAAAATTGAAAATACTATAGAAACAAAGACACCAACATCTTGGATGCCCTTGAGGTAAGATAAAACATATCAAAAATTAATTTCAAAGTGAACTATCCGTTTAAGTTATGTATCTAAATACATACAGTATATCACTTTTATATCAAATAAATCTCGATCCATGTTCTAGGTAGACGCTTTATTCCAGGAGGACTTCAGCATGACTCCAGATCAAATGTTCAGGACGTTTGACTATGAGCCTGTGGCCGCTGCGAGTCTGGCTCAAGTGCACAAGGCCGAACTGCATGATGGGACACCCGTGGCTGTTAAGGTGTTTTAGGGCTGCACATGATGACATTTTCCTCGATTCATCAGTTTGATGGATGATATTTTAATCGGTTAAACGTGATTTGATAGTCCAGTGCAGTATTGCAAGAACAGGTGATCCAATGATGCATGTGTTGTTATGAGGATCTGTCGATGTGTGTTGGTCAGGTGCAGTATATTGATCTCAGGGATCGCTTTGATGGAGATATCAGGACTCTGGAGATTTTGCTGGACATAGTGAAATCCATGCACCCCAGCTTTGGCTTCCGCTGGGTCTTACAGGTCAGTGCGTGAAATATAATGCATGAAATCAAACCTTACTCTCAAAACTACAGACTGAAAGGAGTGTTAAAACGTCCCACCGCTGGCCAGATGATACACAAACTACTTTTCATGACCGGATAAAGCAAACTAGAGTCTCGTTAGTGAGTTTTAGATGGACGCGGATTGTGCATCCTTATGGACATTTTTGTCCTTTTCAGTTTTGTTTTTTTGATCACTTTGCCTGTGTTAAAGCTAACTGCAAAAAACTTGGCACAGGTGTGTATTTTTATTAGAATTTTACTATTTCACCGTCATTTTCTTAAAAAAAAATATTTTTTGCATTAAGTACAAAAAAATACTCTCTGTCAGCACCTTTAGGACAAAAATGTCCCCGTTGAAACCCATTAAAACTGCCATTTTTAATCCCCGGTTCAGTTAACTATAAAATTATGCAATCTTAGTTAAGAGGCTTTCATTCTGATGGCAAGGCTTCAAATTTTTATTTTTTACTATTTTTTTTATCAGATGGTGCCATTTTTTTTTTACGTTTGGCCTATAAAACAAATATCGCTTTATTCCTGTTTTCTGCTTCGGCATACTATAGAGCCAACTGGATAAATTATGCAACGATATTTGTGTGGGTGTGTTGGTATGGATGTCAGAGTGTGGTTGGTATGCGTGTTATAAAAAATATGTGTGTGTTTGTAATACTGAGAGAGAAAAACTGCAAATAACAAATCCAATCACTGTGAGCACCAGTGGGGTTTTGCTGGCACCCAATGGGGAAAATATGTTACTACGCCCAAACAAACTGTTACCAAAAGCTCATTTTTTGAGATATCATCCTCAAATTTGGAACACAACCTATTTAGATTTATGGCTTTGATTTAATAGCAGTTTTGAGTTCAACCTGATTTATAAAATATATATTTTATATAAAGTATTTTTTATAAATAATTTTCATAAACTTTTTTTATTCACTTATTATTATTTTTTTACTTCAGCAATAATCTGCAAAGGGTCTTCTTTAAAATGATACCAAACTTAAGTCTGTGCTCCAAAGCTCAAGTTTTTTGACATGGACATTTTTGTCCTCTTTTACCTATGTGTAACTTTTTTTAACTGATGCACAAGGGTTAAATACGTCTGCGGTGACGTACAGCACGCGTGAGTCTGTTATTGATGCACAAACCGGATTAATGTGTGCTCTCGACGCACTGATCGCACGTTGTATTTGTACATCGTCACATTAACGCTGTTTCCACACACATTCAGGAGAATGTTTTAAGTCATGTGTTTGTGTTTCGTAATTCTGAATGGATCCGTGTATTGTAGTATTTAATGCAGTCAGGTCAACACGGATGGAGACAATCTCTCATTGTTTCTGTATTTTTCTCCATGATGCTGGTAGGACTTGAAAGGAACACTGGCACAAGAGCTGGATTTTGAGAATGAAGGCAGGAATTCTGAACGTTGCGCGGAGGAACTCAAGCATTTTAAATTTATAGTCGTGCCCAAAGTATTCTGGGATCTGACCAGCAAGGTGAGAATCTTCGTGTGACGGGGAAGTGTTTCTTTGGTCTAACGTTTCAGTTCGGTATGATTTTTAATGGTTATAAAAGTAGTCTCTTCTGTTCACCAAGGCTGCATTTATTTGATGATTAATAATACACAAAAAAAGTAATATTGTGAAATATTTGTACAATTTAAAACAGCTGTTTCTATGTGAATATATAGTGAAGTTTAATGTGATCAAAGCTGAATTTACAGCATCATTACTCCAGTCTTCAGTGTCACATGATCCTACAGAAATCATTCTAATATGATGATTTGATACTCAAGAAACATTTCTTATCATCAATGTTCAGAACAGTTATTTAAAGCTATTCTTTGTTGAATAGAAAGTGATATATAAATCTTTATTAACACTACCATTCAAAAGTTTGGGGTCAGTAAGAATTTTTATTTTATTTTATTTTTTTTTGGGGGGGGGGGGAGGAAAAGAAATCAAGACATTTATTCATCAAGAATGAATTAAATTGATCAAAAGTTATAGTAACGACATTTATAATTTTACAATGCATTCTATTTCAAATAAATGCTGTTCTTTTTTTCTGTTATAGGGGACATATCATGCTAAATCCACTTTATTAGCCCTTAAATACATTTTGGATTGTATATTTATTTGGAGTGTTTATAAGTACATATATATATATATATATATATATATATATATATATATATATATATATGAAGAGTTCAGATGCAAAAGCCTCTAAATGCCATTTGAAATTTTCTTCTTTAATGATGATTTTTATCAAACTTGTATATTTAAGTTCAGTAATTTCACTTAAATGGCAATGATAATTACCTATTAATTGTTATTTAAGTGAAATTACTGAACTTAAATATACAAGTTTGATAAAAATCATCATTAAAGATGAAAATTTCAAATGGCATTTAGAGGCTTTTGCATCTGAACTCTTCATATATATATATATATATATTTGGAGTGTTTATAAGTACAGAAAAGTTCAAATTACTCTCTTCAGATGCTTCGTTTATATCTTTATATTCTGTTTTGGTCATATTTTAAAACCAAAACAGAAACAGAGCACTTCGATAAGCTGTAAAAATCGTTAATAACAAATAAAGTACTGGTCGTGGTTTAGCAGTACCTTTGTCTTTACCTTTGTAAAGTTACACGTCTGCAGTATTATTGTTCTGTTCATTTAGCTGCTGTGTTTTCTGATGCTTTTCTAAACGTATCATATTATCAATACAGATTTTTTTCTCATTTATCTTGTCCGTGTGCTTGTTTTAACGAGAGAAATAGTCGACTTTCACTAATGACACAATACAGTTAACGTTACATACCACTGCATCCATATGAAGACGTTGCTCTGCAGGTTCGTCGTCGTCTTTTTCAACTCGCTCGCTCTGGCTCGAACATGATGGACAAGTCTTCCATTGTTAAAGTAAAGAAAAGAAAAAAAATCAACATTGATAATAATAATTAGTGTTTTTTTAGCATCAAATCCGCATATTAGAATGATTTCTGATCAGGTGACACTGAAGACTGGAGTAATGGGAATGATCACAGGAATATGATCTTTTTAAATTGTCATAACAATGAATACATTTTTGTATATTTAATCAAATAAATGCAGCCTTGGTGAGCAGAAGAGACTTCTTTTAAAAACATTAAAAATTTTCCAGATCCAAAACTTTTTGACTGGTAGTGTAAATGGAGACTAACTATGACTTTGTGCCCATGTAGAGAGTCCTTACAGCAGAGTTCTGTGATGGATGCAAAATCGACAACGTGGAGGAGATTCAGCGTCAGGGACTGAGTCTAAAAGACGTGAGTTTAATGCCGTCTATTAGAAATCAACTGGCTCACATCACCTCCGTTAAAGGTCCATGATTTCCTCAGGCAGCTGAAAAACTCATCCGCACATTCGCAGAGCAGATCTTTTACACCGGCTTTATTCACGCTGATCCTCATCCGGGAAATGGTGAGATTACTGTAATTACACTTAATAATGGGAATGAATGAATACATATAATGATGCTCAAAATCCCTTCATGACTAATCTTGCTCATTTTAGTACTGGTAAGAAGAGGTCCAGATAAAAAAGCTGAGTTAGTTCTGTTGGATCATGGGCTGTATGAAAACCTCAGTAAAAGGTGAGAATCACTCCAGTCACTGGGATCAACGTGAAACAGGAAACAGGTGACAGGAAATACTCTCTCTCTCCATCAGTGACAGGACGGCTCTGTGTCAGTTGTGGCGATCCATAATCCTGCGGGATGAAGCCGGCATGAAGACGTATGCAAATCAGCTCGGGGTCAAAGGTAACGCTGTATTTTAAAATATATTACAATAGAAAACTTAATCGTAATAATATTTCACTTATTGTAAAAAGTAGGAGTGTAACGATACCCTCATGTCACGATTCGATACATATCACGATACTGAACTCAGACATATAGTAAAAGGTTAACAAAAAATTGATTAAAATGCTAAATTTGGTGTAACATTGGGGTGGAAATGAATAAGCTGGTAACCCAATACACAGGACAATAGTGACACCAGACTACAAATATTCATGTTTTCGAAGCTGAAAATACAGAATTATTTTAGACAAACATGCTTACACTGTCACTGACTAGATATATTGAAAATAATGTTGGACACTTTTTACTGGTAACATAATACATTTGGCATTATCAGGGCCCAAAAGTATTCCGTTATACATTATATATAGTAGTTTAATGTAGTACTGACACTAAAACTTTGTAAAATGTAATTTTTGGTGAACTATCCACGATACATATTGTTGCATTTTTGTATTTTGTGACACTATGTATTGTTACACCCCTATTAAAAATAGTATTTTGATATTATGGTATTCATTGCATCTCGTTGGACCTTCCCAGAATACTTCCTGTTCAGTGAGATGCTTCTGCAGCGGCCAATCAACATGTGGGAAATGGGGCTGGGTAACATCTTGACTCGGGAGGAGACGTCTTACATGCGTGACATGGCCATGAACCGCTTTGATCAAATCATGCAGGTGTTGAAGTCTATGCCGCGGCCCATGCTGCTGGTGTTCAGGAACATTAACACGGTCCGCTGCATCAACATCACTCTGGGAGCTCCAGTCGACCGCTACTTCATCATGGCCAAGTGGTAGGGGACTTATGAAAGGACTAGCACCTCCTAAGCTCTAGTATTGACCTAAAAATCGATGTATTTCTATTCTTTTCAATGTCCTATTCTTTCTTGAATACTGTAGAATAACTTCTGCCCCATGTAAGTTTTCCTATTTATGGTTCAGTTTAGAATTTTGATCTGCCATCCATCATTTTAATATAAAAGGACTGTGTTTCAGTGCTGTGAGAGGATGGGGCAGAACTCTGGCCGATGACACCAGGATTCTTCCCAGACTGTCAGTCTTCCGCTGGTTCTGGTCCTTTTGGGAGAGCGTCAAGTTTGAGTTCGCTTTAAGGTGATGACACTAGAACCCTATGAATTCTGATTTATTTTTTCTTCAAAATTTGTTTTTATTTATTTATTTATTTTTCTAAAAAAAAAATCTGGATTCAATTTTAGAAATCAAAAAGCCTGTCTAATTAATTGAAAGTATATACATATACAATTTAACCAATTTATTTATTCAAAGTTGAACAAAAATTACATTTAGTAAATACTATACTTTTTTTGCCCCAAACTTGCAATTGGATCATTAAAAAGCATGTATAATTAATTGGATAATTAATTGAAAGCATAAACGTATACAAAGTTCAACAAAAATTACATTTATATGGGAAATACTAACCTGCCATTTGAATCATTAAAAAGCATGTATAATTAATTGGATTCATAAAACTTTCAAGAATTTAGGGATTTATTAAAATAATATTTATTTTAATAACGTTTAAATGATGTTTGAATTTTTTCTGGATTTATAATTTAATAGAATAAAAAAAACATTTGATATAATCACATGAAGGCATAAAACATGAGCAATTATTTAATCTTTTAAAATGTAATTTAATAAAAATGTAATAATTCTTTACATTTTTGGCAAAGTGATCAACAGTTTTAGAAATGAAAACTTTACAATTGATATTCCTTTAAGTTTGAATAATAATTATTATTATTACTTTTAATCTACTCTACATTCTACTGTATATGATAGTTTCTTCAGAATTTAGGGATTTATTAAAATAATATTTATTTTAATAACATTTAAATGATGTTTGAATTTTTCTGGATTTATAATTTAATAGAATAAAAAAAAAACATTTGATATAATCAAATGAAGGCATAAAACATGAGCAATTATTTAATCTTTTAAAATTTGTAATTTAATAAAAATGTAATAATTCTTTACATTTTTAGCAAAGTGATGAACAACAGTTTTAGAAATGAAAACTTTACAATTGATATTCCTTTAAGTTTGAATAATTATTATTATTATTACTTTTAATCTACTCTACATTCTACTGTGTATGATAGTTTGTTCAAATTAAACCAAACTTTTATTTTGGCGAGTTGTAATGAAGACAGTTTTGTGAAATGACACTAAAACACAAGCATCATGCATTCTTGGGTTTGTGTGTAGTGGACAAACTACCGCTCTTCAGAGACATATGCTGCGTCCCAATGCCCGACTACATATTTTTAACATTCACAACTGACTCTCGAGTTGCTCTCAGCCATTTTGAAAAGGTCAAAGGTTATATCATCTCGGCTACTCGTGCATTAAAATATTCTACGAGTTACCTAGTGTTCATGTGCCTTTTCCACATTGGCTTTTGGTATTTACCATAATTACCATAGCACACGAACGCACCATAATTACCAGTATCCAACCTGACGGAAATACATATTTGTATTATATATATATTACATATTTGAAATACGTATTCTACACATATCATGATTTGATATCTCAGTGGCAGATGAAACTAATATTAAACTGGAATCAATCTTGTGCTTTTAGCCCATATGGCAACCGTATTGTTTGTGTGTAACAAGCATCAGACGTCATTGTGTGTTCCTCCAGGTCAGAGATGGCGCTCATGAGTGTCACTCACTCTCTGCTTAAGCTGCTGTCTTACTGCAATATCATCACGCTGGACCAGGACGTGTATCAGTTTCTGAAATGAAGCGTCACCTCTGAGCGTGGTTTCACTCGTGTTTCACTTGAGCTTGGAACCTCTCTCTGTGTTGCTTTTCTTTGAAATAAGCACAACTGAATTATTTTTAATTTAATTTAATTAAAGACGATCACAGCTTTAATTTAGCTTTTATCAATCATGATGTTCCAGCATTAAAAATACCTCTTTCTTTCAAGAAGCAGTGAGACCTGCATTCATTTCTTTTATAGGCCTCAGAAACACTAAAATGATTCATGATGATCATTTAACGGTGGCGATAATGGGGGGAAAAATCACTCTGAACAAAGTAAATGTTTATGCTTAAAACCTTTTACCTCATGAGGTTTAACGATTTATTGCGATGCCAATTAAAAAAAAACTTTTTACTACTTGTAGTTAAATAATTGTGCCAGGTTGTTTTGTATTTATATGGATTTCACTGATTAATTGATGGCGAATATGTAGTTGATGCTGAGAGGTGTTGCACTGTCAAAAATGTGTGTGTAAATCATTTTTACAGTCAGTCAATGGTAATAAATCTTCAATGGAATGTATTTAGAAAATAAATCATTTATAAGAGGCTATTATTTCAGTTTTGTGTAATGTTTGGATTTTCCAGAGTAAAAACTGATGCTCTTGTATCTCACAAGGTTCCCGCGGGGTCTTAAAAAGCCTTAAAAGCATTGAATCTATTCATTTGGAAGTAATATTTTTTTTTAAAAAAACTTTAAAAAGTTTTTAAACCTTTAAAAAGTTGTTCTGAATGTCAAGATGCAAAATGTGTTCATTTTCTTTTGGTTTTTACTTACAAAATAATCCATGAAATACAATGCCATTTACTGCATTTCCTTACTTCACGCAACAAAAAAATAACAGTATGACAAATTTGAGTTTTCTGATTTTCTATCAAAACACTGAAATATAAAAGAGCAGGCAGAATGGGAAACTTTAGGTGATGAAATGCATTGAGAGAGTAGCAGCTCTTCAGAAGTGAGCCGTTACTCTGTCAATCTCCAGAAGATCATCCAAGATCTGAAACACAGAGCAGAAAAGCTCATGAACCGGAAGGAAGGAAGGAAAACGTGGAGAATATTACAGTCAGCGCTGCTTTAATTACTTCAGGTAATTACTGTAGTATTTGATTCAACAACAAGTCTAGGTCTCTCATTTGATTGGCCATGAGGCATGCAGTAATGCCAGATATTTAATGCTGCCTTTCATAAGCAACTTTACTTTAAACGCGTTAAATAAAATAAAATGTAACTTAAACTTTTAAATAGAAACTATATAGTCATTTAAAAAATAATAAAATTTTTTTATTAAAAAACATAATAATAAAAAATAATTCAATATAAGAATAAATTTTATGCATACTGTATGTATTTCTATTAGTGAAAATTGCATTTATTTGCCTGAATTTCCAGAATCATCAGCAAGCTATCTAGAATGATGGTTTAGATGGTTGCCAATGAATGGGATGCTATATATCCAACATCCATTGGATATTGACTACACATTTTCTATCAATTTCGACTGATTAAATTTCCCCAAGAAATATGTAAGAATGAACCTGCACTCCACGGTTCCTATTCTTTCCAACAACAAAACACTTGAACACGACAAACTCATAATGTTTGTTTTTTGGCCACGTTCAGCTAGTGCTTCGGCTTCTTTAGGAGCTATTTAATTCCCAGAGCTGCATTTTTTAGAAGCACAGGTTAATTTATATCAAGTTCTTGTTTTTTGAATTTATAAAAAAGGCGCTACGTTTCCAGCACAATAGAGTGCAGAAGTGATGACGTCACTTTGTAGGACAACTCGGAAGCTAGCGGCGCATGGGTTCCCTCGATCGAAAAGCAATGCATTTTTCCCATAGACTTCTGGAAAATCACAAAAAAATAAGATCAGTGTTCAACAAAGAGTTGTGACCCTTACAGGTTTTGTCTATCAAGATAATCTTTACTAGTTAATCCAAAATGTATACATTTTGAAGCCTATATAGTTTTTTAAAAAGACACAATAAACCACAAGCTGGTTATAACTGTGTGTTTTATGTCATAGATCAAAACGTGAAAATATTTAGAGGCTCTGTTCACCACAGACCTTATTTCAGGCGATTTAGCAAAAACCCATTCAAAAATCCCATAGACTTCCCATAGAGCGAGGGAACCGGGAGTGCTAAAATGCTAACTCACTTCCGCGTTTTGGCCTACAGAGTGACGTCGTAACTTCGCCACTCTATTACTGCTTACTTATAAAATGATTATATATTTCCAGAACTTGCTCATAATTGTCACTGCACTGAAAGTGTTTCATTCACTGAGGTAAAGTGTTACAGTAAGCACTCACAATGTCTGACGTTGTGCCGATCTTCTTGGCCAGTTCGCTTCGCTCCATGGTGCTGAGGTACAGGTACTTATTCAGCAGCTCTCCGTCCAGAATGTTCTTCACAGCGTTCTGCAACGTCCGCCGATCGTAGTGCAGCATCCTGCAGAAATACACAGTATGATATGCTGAGAGGTGCACTAAAATACGCAACAGAAATGCCAGGAAATGTCTTTTACTGAATATATATTTTTAGTTATGCTCTGCCCTAAAATATTTATTGGCTTTTAATGAAATGCTCACATGAGTAAAATTTGCTCGCATGTCTGTCCATTGACCAAGTATTAATTCATATCAATTGTTAACTGTCACCGTCCCACAGGCGGGACGCTTGCCATTATATTTTTAAAACAATAATATCTTAGAAAAGACCTTAAGTAATATTGACAAACTATATATCATTTGAAAGCTTACAATCTCTAGTTTCCATATTTTTCTGACTGATTTTCAAAATAATTTACACAGGAGGTGTAATATATCAATTTGCAACAAGAATATTTTCATACTCATAAAGTGTGTTCAGACCTTTATTTTGAAATAGCAATGAAAAAAAGTTAGAAACCTCAGTTTGAGTTCATGCCAAGAGTTCAAAAGATAGCATCCATTCAATTATTTTAGAAAAAAAAGGTCTGAAAATGTTTTAAATATTACGAAAAAATATAATAAATAATAAATTCACCATTTGTGTTATGGCAATAAGCTATGCGTGTTCTTTGTATGTGATTCCTAGAGGTTGAATTCATATCAAAATCTGCCAAACTACCCATACTACTTCTGAATAGGATTTCAACTTCATAAATTGTGTGAAATTTGTGAAAATAATGGTTCAGATCACTCAAACACACATATGGAAATGCAGGCGCCCTTATATGGGCTGTAATGGAGACTGGTTGTGCCCTAGTGGAAGCGTTCGGTACTGCACCCAAACTAAATCTCACTGAAAGTTCATTTTTTGAGATATCAACCTAAAATTTGAAAAACTTGTTCAGATTTTTGGCTTTGATTTTTCTGCCGTTTTAGAGTAGCCCAGGTTTTGAAAATATATATTTTATATAAAATATGAATATTTTTTTTTTCATTGTACATTTCTATAAACTCAAACTTCTATAACTTTTTTCTGTTTCACTTTCTTAATTTATTTCACTGCCAAAAATCTGCCAAATGTCTTCTTTAAAACGAGACCAATCTTACGTCTATATTCCAAAGCATTCTTGAATTACAACCATTTAAGTTTGAAATGTTGAGCATTTCCATGTCTATTCAAAAAAGGGGGGGTGACTAACAGTTAAGAGGTTAAACCAGTTCCAAAGAAAAAGGCGATTCCAGACATGCAAACAAATTCCTTGAGATTCTACCCCAATCTCTAAAAGCTATTCCTAAAAAGTGAATGGGAATCCATTGGTCAAAAACATTGAATCCCAAGAAGTGGTGTAATTCAATGACAAGTTGGAACTTTGTAGCGTTTTGCCGATTCGCGTCTCTCGGGACGTCAGCAGAGAAGAATCAGTACCTGAAGGCCTTTGGGTTGAGCCCAGCATGATGTGGCAGCATGGTGGTGAGGGCGTTCTGCAACATCAGCAGTCTGCGGTACGTCTTCTCCTGCATTGGCAGAAGCATGCCGACGCCACCGTCCAACGTAGCTGGACAGACACAGAATCACAGTTAAGTCTCTAATGAACTGGTTTGGGAATTATAAAATATTGATGGCTTGATGATCATGTTTCAGAGACTCACCGAACCAGGTGATGTGTTTGTTATCCCAGGTGAGCGCTTTTTTGCTAGCCGTGTCCAGAGTTCCTCGGCACGGCATCCTCCATAAGGCGTTCACGTGAGCGCCCACGTTAAAGTCTGCTCGTCGCAGCAAACGCATGCCCCCGAAACTCTCCTTGGCTAAAGATGGTACAATGAAGGACATGCGTTTGAACACTGAAAGAGTCTAAATGTATTGCGGAAAGGATCAAATAAACGACTCACCTTCGGGCAGGTACATGTAGACCAACAGGTTTTTGTCTCTGTCTGAAACTAAGAAAGGGTTTAAGAGGTCAAATGAGTGACGTTTACAAGAGCGCTTACAGAAGTCAGTCAGTCACTTACCTAGAAAGCCAAGCTGGTTATTGTCCACCATAAATTCAATGCTATAAACTTCCAGGGGCTTTGCATCCTACAACGAAACATGGAACAATCAGACCTGGACACATATTTTAACTTCAATGTATTTATCCATTTGTCACGATAAGCTGCAAAAAGCAGGTGCCATCTTTGCGTTTGACTCCGTCTGGCTGGTTCCTCAAGTGCTTAACTGGACTGAATGTGCACTTGTAGTGTATATAGGGCATCATTTTATCATTGAAAATATGCAATTCTAAATATATATTTAAATAAATTACATTCAAGTTTCAATAGAAATAACATTAAAGCATATTTTAGTTGTAGTTTAGTAACTGTCGGTACATTCGGTATACTTTAACCATGTCAAAGACAATAGAAATCATTTTGAAACTATATATAAATATTAGGGCTGTCAAATGATTAATCGTGATTAAATCACATCCAAAATAAAAGTTTTTGTTTACATAATATATGTGGGTGCACTATGTATAATTATTTTATATATATATATATATATATATATATAAATACACACACATGCATGTATATATTTAAGAAAAATGTGTTATTAATATATCCAATATTTAAATTTATATATAATATTAATTATGTATATTTAAGAAATATTTTCATGTATATACTGTATATAGATGTATAAATAATTTATATTATATATATAAATATTTTATATATAAATAATATTTTTTCTTAAATATACATGCATGTGTGTGTATTTCTATATATACAAAATAATTATACATAGTGCACCCACATAAATTAAATAAACAAAAACTTTTATTTTGGATGTGATTAATCGTGATTAATCATTTGACAGCCCTAATAAATAAGTGATAACTTTAATCTAAATGTAAACTCTAATACATTTTCATTGTATCGTGAATAACATATTATTTGTTAATATGTTATTATTAACGAATTACTATGTTAATATAGTAATGAGTACTCTTCTTAAAAGTATGCTAAAGTGTATTTCTGGACTTTATGATCAAATTTACAGTGCTATTTTGTTATTTTTTGGGAGTTTGACTGCTTTTAACTTCATTCATTTTGATTGCATGTCTGTTAAA